CGTCACCTGTGGCGTAGGCGTGACATCAGTTTCTCTGTCAAGGGTCGGGTTTACAATGCTGCGGTGCGCTCCATATTACTATATGGATCAGAAACCTGGCCGCTGCGCGCCGAGGACGTCAAAAGACTTTCAGTGTTTGACCATCGATGTCTTCGGAGCATTGCCCGAATCTGGTGGGAACAGCGGATCAGCAATTCTGAAGTACGTCGAATGGTATTTGGGAGAAATAACTCACCCTCGATAGATGAACTGATCACACTGCACAGGTTACGTTGGCTTGGCAACGTGCTGCGTATGCCAATCGACCGGCTTCCTCGAAGGGCTCTTTTTGCCCAACCATGTAAAGGGTGGAAGAGAGCCAGAGGCGGCCAAACAATGACTTGGCAGTGAAGTGTGAGAGCCATTACCAGCAAACTCAGCTGCGCTGGTCACTGTCGTCTTCCTGGATAGGGACCCCGAGACGGGCCACATCAATGGCGCTCATGCATCAAAGCTATTGCATTCAATGCATAGCTCCTTTTCCACCCCCCCGCTTGGCAACCCACTGACAGTGCTGGATTTATGCAGCAATTTACCAGTTCGCGCGTGCAATGCGCAGCTACCTACCCCCCCCCAATCATCGGTGAACGTAACTGTGGCAGCTACAACCAGTATACGACGAGTACCCGGTTCTTACAGCTGACAATGATGATGACTCAACTGCAAACGGCCGAACCACCGACATCCTCAGGCATTCACCCAAATAACATGGATGGAAGCTGACGGCACAAACACCGTCAACATTGGTTACTTATGTACATCAGTTTGGCATACTTGCCGGAAAGTCTCTACCTAATGTCTACCATTCCCCATCAGCCTTCGACCTTAACTCATTATTCGTGCACGTGGTGCGATTAACTTATTACAACTCTTCCGGCGTGATTTGCCCGACGCCCTCGCTTGGCTCCTAACATTGACTGAGCCGGTAAACCTAAGAAATATATGCTACACTATAAAGAACGCGATCTTGTGAGTCGGGCGGTACGTTGCAATGTGGGAAAATAATATTCTAGTCTGAGCTACCATCAACGACTTTGCTGTATTGTCTTCACCTAGAATTGCCAAGTGGTCACTTCCCTTGCGAAAATGGCTTCTCACGCCATTACAGAGTTGCTGAAGTGGCCAAGGAAAGCTCCTTTTTTTCAAGGGCTATGTTATTAGCATACTAAGCCAGAGTGGTTTCTACTAGATTCCATTTTCTCCAACAATAACTGTCCAGTCTCAAACTCCGAACGTGATGAATTACAGGCCATTCATTAAATGACCCAAACAAGCAACCGACCAGTGGCTTCCGTCAGCATGTCATACCTGGACACTGATCGAAAGCCTGCAAGCCACGCGCGTGCATGCATGCACAAAAATATAAACTATCTGTGCGGCTGGGTGACTGCTCGAGTGCCGCATCTTCTCGGATACTGGAGGGTGTATTTTGCCAGTCGCAGAATTAATCTTCACAGGTATCTTCCCAGCATTGGTCCGAACCAAACCTACCAAGTTCCCGGTGGGTTCCTCGAGGATTACCGTCACAAGTCGTTACTATGACATCGCGCCCAAGCATCTTGTCGACCGGCAGCCGCATTTGTTCATGCAATTCATCAGGGACGCTTGAACTTGATGCCGACTCTTGAGTCGCCCTTATAAAGAGTACTTCACGAAGAGGAGTAATTGCGAGTATTGAAGACACGGATGTCTCGGAGACGAGCACATCACTGGACCATTTGCTTAAAGCGAAGAAAACGCAGTGGCGGCTTGAGTTACAAACCGGTCAACTGTCGTAAAACCCGGTTTGATCACCTTAAGCTTGAAAACATGATGCACTACCATTAAGGGAGGCACAGAAGTGTGAACCGGATCGCTTGCAAGAGACATTGCGAAGGTCTCGCGAGGATCTGTCATCGACTGTCTCCATAGTGCTATCCCGTTCTCATTCGGTGTAGTACGACTTCTCCAGGAGAGGCTACAGACTACAGATTGGCAGACAGGCACGGTATTTTGGGGCCAATTCTAATAGAGGAGAGTGAACACCATGGCATTTTTCACCATAAAGTGTCCACAAAACTTCCCACAAGACCCACCGGAACTTTCGTGATTGAGAGGAAGGCGCCGGGCCAAAACTGCTCGGTTCTGATTGGTCCAAATTCTAACCAATACGACCATGCCCTCAACTTGTCTCGACAAATCCGAACAACCGATGTGATATTGTGTTATTTGGAGTGCATCCCCTACAGAAATCCGGGCGAATAAACAGGCCGACAAGCTTTATCTAGATAGTGACTATATCGGCGCATGCCTTTGGGTAAAACCGGTCGTCAGTTAACCAGGATGAAACAATTCTCGATGTTCTCATCACGCAAGAGAGCTATATTGAAGACACGCGAGAGGTATCGTTCTAAAAATGATAAACAGTCAGCCTCTAGATCTCCCTCCATACACACGGTAAGTCTGATTGTGGATGCAGTCGTTACTCGTGGTCATGACAACCAACTCTATAAATCAGGTAACAACCCACATGGAATTCCTATGGGCGCCGAGTAGACCACGTGATCGCAGATAAGCGGAGAAAAAACGGCGTAAACAGAAATAAAATGCCACAATCGAACAGACCATACAAGCCTCTTCCAACCGGGAAACTAATTGCTGAATTAAGGGCGGAGTCATCTAGGTGGACAAGCCATTGGTGGTAGCATTCGAAGCATTACCCCCTACCGAATCGAACGGAAAGGGTGTTATTTGGACACCTTGACGGCAAGTTCTCCTCTGGAAGCTCACTGTAACAGAAGTGTGTTTACTGGAAACCTTCCAACGCGTGCGAATCCAAGATACCGAAATACCACATGCTACGTGCTACGAGTTGCAAACATAGAGAATTCTTAATTATGTGTTTTCCGTGGATTCCTGTGTTGATACACAGGGTTGTGGTTTCGCCATGGCTTGCCGGATCGGGTTTGTTCCTGTTGCTCAGCGGATGACGTTTACCTGAAAGCCGCATGAGACAATTGGGGGCGGCCTCGCTCTTTAAGTTCCTGGGTGTCATAATTAGCTTGCCAGTGCACAAATCTTCTAATGGTGCTTTGAGATGGGCACTAAATGGAGTGTGGGCGACCACTGAATGCAGTTTACTCTGCACAGAAGCTAGCTGAAATCGGAAAACATTTTTCCCAATAAAAGTGTGTAGCGTGAGCTCGAAAAAATTCTTATCAAGTCCCGCCGCGTGTCAGCTTGATAAACGGTGAAAAACCTGTCAGCCATACATTGTTCAAACAGGGTTTAAGTAAGAATTAGTTTTCCTCAGAGGTGAAGATGCCTCAGAAGATTGTGCCGAGCACTGCGAGACGTTTTTTACAGACCACGGACTCAAAGCCGATGAGGCTTTCGCAGCACCTCGTTGGATACTTTCGGTGAGGACCGCTTATTTCTTGCGGTCTGAGCAGACAACTTGTTTGGCATATTCAAAAAGCGTTTCTTCCTAGGGGTAATATCTGGAAGCCGATTCGGGTAACACGGAAAAAAGTGCGCCAACTCATCCGTATAACGACAAATGCCCACTGAGCCAATGTTTTCATGATGGATTGAAAAGGACACGTTTACAGGAATCCAGATGACTTGGCAATTTCTGGTATCAATCCTCGTAATGTCTTCTAGTTCATTCTCATCCTACATGAAAGAGGTGTTTGCCGGTCTCATCTCAACGACGCATGGACACAATTGACGCACTTCACAAGAAAGTGCTGCACAAGCTACCGCTGCTTGTCAGCACGCACATTCGTTAGGAGCCATTGGCATTCGAAACACAGGATATCGTTTTCTCCCTATAAGTAGACGTGGAAATGCAAAA